TCCCTCACCTATTAAACTGTCTTGTGTCTCAACTCATGAATTTTGATTTTGTTCTTCCTATTCTCTGCCCTGTTCTGCTGGGCATGGAGGGACTGAGAGCAGTCTCCTTGTCAGTAAGACCCCTGCCCCCCCATTACTGGAAAACTGAATGTAGCTGATATTTGCTTCTGTGGAGCTTCTTCAGCCACAGTGAAACAACCTTTATTATTAACCATTTCAGTGAGGGAAAGTATGGAAAATGAAGTGGAGCTTATGCTTCAGCTTCTTCTCACAGTTACTGAAAACTACAACAGTTTTTGCACCAAGGCTTCAGGTAGAACTTCATTCTGGTGCTTGCTGTACTAACCAGATTGTACCTCGTTCCCATTCCTTCTTCCACTCAACAGACACTTTCTTTAACCCTACACAAGAACCATACTTCTCTGCCTCTTGGCCTTCACCACTAATTTATCTTTCCTGTATTTTCATCTAAGCTCCTTTTTCTTTCTTTTCTGCTTGGCCATTTTCTCTGTACCTTCTCTCACTGACTAGGGCTCAGTCATGTGAAGTCAAACCCCTCACTGGTTTCAGTATGGTACTCTTAATCCAGAGGATAATGGATTGAGCATTGATCCCAGTGCTGTTACATCCAAGACTCACATTAAAGTGATAAAGATAATCTGTATTCAATACCCAGTCCCCAGCTGAGATCTGGAAGCACTCTAAAAACTGATTAAAACATAAAGTTGTCACTCTCCAGAAGGATAATCAGAAGTAAATTCTGAAAGGGCAATAATACTGAGCTCAGATTGTAGGGTACTATTCTTACTATGAATTATGTAATGACACATTCCCTGGAAAAGCGTAAAAAATGGTTGGTTTGAATGCCATTTGCATGATCCAAGTAATTTGGAGATAATTATACACATTAGTAATTGCTTTCATGTTAACTGAATATGTAAAATTGTAAACCATTTAGTCATCCCATTCATTTTTAATGCCATCAAATGAACACTGGGAAAATCCCCAGACATTCTGAAGGAAAGAACATCAAACTGCTAAATGTATCTTCCGTTGTTCTCCGCATGAAGTTCTGCATAAAAAAAGCAGGCAAACAAAACAAAACAAAACCATCAAAAACTAGTGTGCCCACTGCTGTCACAGCTACAGTGCTACTATGGGTGGGCCATTTCTGAAGCCTATCCTTTCAAACAGTGCTGAGGGTGATGTGAGCACTCTCACAGGCAATCTGCACAAGGGCACATCTTTTTTTTTTTAATTCATGTCTGCTAGTATCCAGAATAGCAATGCTTAAATGGAAAAAAAAGTCTCCATTTCCTTCTGATGCGTCTGTTCCTTCTGCCTCCTTATAGAGAAAGGTCACACTGACGATGCCGTCAGGTGGGCATGCCCCTCACTGTAAGTGCATGTGGGTAAAAGGAGTTTTGAGTTGAAAATTACTGTATCCGTAAGCACATGGATGAAAACATTGCAGAAAAGCTACAGGAGGGCAGCATTTATAGCAATGAATGTTACACAGAGTATAAATATCAGGCAAAACTAAACCCACAGAAACATGAAAAAATTAAAAAAATAAAAAAAAAAGCTACAACTGACAGCAAAACCCACAATTCTTCCATGTCTTCATTACTACACTGTTGGCAGCTGTTGGTGAGGAGCCACACACTAAATCCCTGGTAAGCCATGACCATCTGTATGGTCATGTACATTTTTGTACATGTACAATTTATGTCACGCAAATGGTGTGACATAAATTGTACAGAGATACTTTGTTCGTCAGCTGACAATTTTGTGACCAGACTGACAATCAGTGGGCAAGGAGCTGTAGCTCAGGAGGCAGATGCTGATGTTGTACGAGATGGAAGTGCTGCATCCCCAAAAACATACAATGCAATGGCAAATTATTAGCAAAAAAATGTAATTTCTAAATGCTGTCACTGATGAGTGTAATTGCTCATGGTCATCTACTCCCTGTCATTATCTTAACAGAACAACAGGCAAGGTAAGGAGCTACCAGTGAATGGCTTCACCTGTTTGTCAGCTGTAAGAAGATTTCTTGTATTGAACAGATAGTACGAACTGTTGTGAGTTCTAGCGAAGCACAAAGTCAGGTGCACTGAGCAACTCCATTTCTGAATCTTTAGATTCCACAGCTTCTGCTTGGACTCTTGAGAGGGTTCATGTTTTGATCCATTCAATGTGCTACCAACCAGTCTCAGGAAGTTCTCTCCAAAAGCATGTGAAGTCCTCAGCAAATACATTCA